CTTTGAATTTCATTGTGTTTGTCTATTATATATTTCTTATTTCATTAATTGTGCCCTTATCTTTATTTTTTCCTTCCTTTATTTTCCTTCCTTTTTTTTCCCCTTAATTTTTTTTCCTTTGGTGTATTGACCTCGTTTTCTGTGATCTTCTTAAATTCATTTAAGATTCCATTGATTGGAGTTTTGTTGTAAATTTGGGGGGAATTTTCAATATAGTTGATCTTATATTTTGCAAGTACAGACAGATTTACTTTTTCCTTTGCAATCTATATACTTTTTCTTTTGTTTCTTGACTTAGTGTACTGATTAGGACATACTCAACATTCCATTGCATTAGGGCCTGGACATTCTTGGTTTGTTCCTAACAGTAGTGAACAATATTTTGCCCTTCATATTTAAGTGCCATAATGGTTGAAAATAGTAATTCATTAATATGCTTTCATTTATCCCTACAGAGAAGAAACTAACAATATCATCTAAGGTAACACTATGAGTGATAACATGTAAAACAAACATGAATGTGTTTTTTGGTTTTATATAACATTCTTTTCACTATTCCTTTATTTCTAAACTGAATTCTACAGAATTCTAATTGTACCAAATATACACTAATTCTATACCATTTAGTGACTAACTGACACCATCAGGGCGTTTTCCTCTAGTAGTTTGAATATGAAACTTCAGAGAGACAACTCAGTCCAGAAGACATCTAAAACAAAAGGATTTCTGAAGACATGAGGAAAAGAAGTTATGGAAGATAATGAAAGAAGTTCAGAAAAATTATGACAGTGCATATAATCTAAATTAAGAAAATTATATATACCCATCCATTTCTGTAGGTACAGTAGAATCAGACACAAAAGATTTTTCTGGCTATATAAGATGAAGTATTATATTGAACTATGTTTTAATTCTAGATGCTATGTAAACAATTATTGTAAAATGGTTCATGCAAAATGAGTCATGTAAATGATTTTTAAATTTATTTTCCTTTGTTTCTTAAAAAAATAACTTCTATCAAGTGAGATCTTGAAAACATGTTCTCATTCTTTCAAATATCAAGTCAGAAAATGAACACAGAAAATCTAAACTTAGGGATGGTCCTGAAAATCTGCACGTTTGGAAAGTGTTTGTATATTTTCTATGTGATTTTCATAAGGCACATATGAAAATTAACAAATAAAAAGTCTACATTCTAAATGGTCCTTGTTACAAAATGAATTTCTGCTGAATCTTTTCTTATTTCAGAGATATTTCACTGCTGGACACCCATGTTACTCTCTTAAAATTCAATTAATTTGTCCTTTTAAAATTTTCTTGATTTCTGGTAAAGCACATTTTACCAAAAAGATGAGCCATTCGGATCCTCCTTATAAATTTCAAGAAGTTAATAAAAATAAAATGCATAATTATAATATTAGCTTAATGTAATAATTATAGATTTAACGCACATTTTGCTTTAAATAATCTATAATTCAGATACTCAATGTTAACAAATGTAGATCTCCTTTTATATAAACAATATCTTGAAAAAAAAGCATAATTCTTTGTTTAGAACTTTACCCTTCAAGTTACTCTTTGGGCTTTGGCTTTATTTTGCTCCAAAAGCATATTTCTACAGCTTCTATAGCTAACATTCTTCTAGATACAGTATAGGCAAAATTAATAGGCAGCTCTAATAGTGATAGTATTAATTACAGTAGTAATAGCAATAGTTAGCTATCTTGTTGTAAGAGACTACTATTTACTAAGCACTAAGTAAGTTTCTATTAACTAATTTCATCAGCATAATAATCTTGAAATAGGTTTATTACCAAGATTATTTGACAAAGGAGGAAACTGAGGTTCAGTGTTACCTGCTATGTTACCTGCTTTCGTCTTAATCATTATATTACATGAACTAATAATTGTAAAATTTACACATAGATATGAAAAAATAAATAAATAAAAAATAATTTAATACTGCCTATTCTCTGAGGGTAAGAATGAGATTCTATAACCTTATTTTCCACACTGAATCCACTGCAGATAATATTAAATGTCACTATGTTTATCTTAGAACTTTTAAAAATAATCTGAATAATTACTAACATAATTATTCAACAAAATAAATATTAAAGGCAGATATAATCATATTTTTATAAAACCACTTGTAAAATATCAAGTTCTGATCTTAAGTTAGTAGACTGGGAGTGCAGGGAGGGAGATGATGGGCCTCTGGACTATCCTTCATGGTTTTGAGTGTAGCAATTCTGCTTTCATCTGTTTTATTTATTTATCTTTATTTATTTATTCTGTGGCCGTAAATTGTGTTTGAAGAAAGAATATCTCTAACCCAAAATTCAAATAACATTCTTCCAAACCACACACTTAACAATATGATCTCAGCTGGATAAAATGTCAGGTTTTAAGGGCTCTTAATCTAATGCTCTTAACTGGCTCTCTCTAGCAGAGATTACAGTGGGATGAAGAGTCAGTATAAGGCAATGTTTTTATTAGTAATCTGGATGAAGGACTAAAATTATAATCTCATTTTTCTAATTGAGGCTACTTTTATATGTTCAACAACTGAACTTAAAAGCAATCTGATAAATTATCTGAAGAATCATTTAGAAATACTATGAAGTTGAATTGGATTAGGATAGAACCAAAAGCAGACATATCAAATTGAAATAGAAAAGGAATATATAGGCAAAAACAGGGTAAAAATATAAAATTAAAAGGAAGTCATTGTCTATCCAACAATCATGGTGTTTAAGAGGCAAAAAAAAAAAAAAAAGAAAAGAAAAAGAAAAAATAGGCTAACAGCAGCTGGCTGTATTAATAACAATAACATAAGGACAAGCCTTTTACTTTATTTGACAATGGACAGGCCCTAATTAGAGTATGCTTTTTGATAGTCTCATTTAAGAAGTTTATTGAAAAGTTAAGTAAGACTAGCAAAGAACACAAAATACTAAGTTATTCCTATGAGAAAAAGCTAAAAAAAAAAATTAAAATATTTACCTTGAAAAAGAGATGGCAATAGAGAAAAATCACTGTCCTCTAAGGTTATTAACAATTACTGCCCTACAGAGGACTGCTAAATATGAGGGATACAAAGAAATACTGGCAATATAATCGGATGTGCTATAAGTAAGCCATTTTAATAAGAAGAAAAGTTTTAAATACTAGAATATCCAAATGAGAGAGATTATAAGACTTTTTTGTTATCTTCTTTGCAGGAAAAAATGCATTCCTAGCTCTGGTTCACCTATGCTCTTTCACTGGTTTATCTTCTCAGATATTCACCCAAGATACTACATATTGTAGGGGTTTCACTCTGTTAAGACTATTTCCTATAGTTCATGTCTCTTCACACTTTCAGTATTTCTCTCCTAGTTCTAACTATCCTCCCAGCTTTGGGTTATTACTAGTCCTCTAGTCCACTAGTGCACACGGGTAGGGTATAAAAACATTTGTTAGAAGAATATGTCTGGTAAATGTACTTCATAGTTCAGACATAGTACTGGTGTACTGCCACAGTTCCCAATCACATATGAACGAATACTTCCAGACTGCTTCCAAATATATATCCTGAGATTTCTCTCTTATATAAATAATTGGCTTGCTTTTAGGTTTTCCCAGACTCTGAAGCACTAGATCCTATACCTTGACATCTCTAATCTTTCTCTACAATTTTTTTTTTTTTTTCAGTAAGTGTCCATCTGTCATGACAGGCTCCTCAACTTTTGTTGATCTCTTTCCTTACAAGGTTCCCAGATGACTCCTTTTTTATGGACTGCTCAGTGTAACCTAACCGTGACATTCAGTCCTCTCAGATACTATTGATGCGCCACCCATATCTCCTGGGCACTTCTAATTCCATCTTATAGTCTTACTAACAGTTAAATACAGAGGCTTTCAAACTGAACTCTATGCATACTTTACTTTCACTAACCAGTCCTACTGAATCTTCTTACTGCAAGCACCTGTCACTCTGCCCGAGGATTTTTTATTTCAGCCACAAGAGCTTGACTGACAGAAGCAGGAGGCTTCTGAAGAGGAGTAGCTTTCAACCAAGGATAAATACGTGGATATATTGGATTTTGTTCACCTCAGGTGATAACTCTGAGATATGTTCAGTAGTACTCCCCGTCACCCCAAGAGTTCCCTAGCAGTATCAAGCCCCAGTTGCCCGTGGTGACTTGTAATTACACCTTGTTGGTTTCCTTTCTTTCCCTGCCTCATTTTCTCTGTCTCGCTCATTCTTAAATAGACTAATGGTAACACGAGTCCTTACCACAGGATCTGTTTCCAAGTAAACCTATCCTAAGATAAGGTATTTCTATATCTTTACCTGGCATTTTCCAAAAACTTTCCATTGTTGTTTAAATAACATTTAAAAATATTCGACATTAATATTTGAGTAAAAACAAATAATCCTGGTCTTTTTATATGCAGTGTGCCCACAACAAATGGTTGTCACACACTTGGGAAGATGATACATAGCCCCACAAAGAGACTCCTTCCAGACTGGGATAGTTCAAGTGTGTGTTCCTGGCAGCTTCGAGTGATATTTCTCATGCTCTTTGACTCTATGATCAATATGAAAAGGCTTGCCCATAGAAATATCTTGTTTTAAATGCATTTTCCTACCAATTTCAGTACAGTGACCATAAAGATCCTTTCCTTTCTGTTCAGGAAAAGAAAGTAGATTACTTTCTTTGGCTCGATCATGCTATGTGACATCTCCATGAATCTCGCATACAACAGATCCTATCATTTTTGAAGACTATTGTTAAATGTTCTCATTTGCATAAGTTATAACAAAATACATAAGTAAAAGTATTGTTTGTGACAGTAATCTGACTTTGGGGATGCACGTGAATTTCTAAAGTTCAAACGGATTTCAGCATTGACATTATGGCACAGAGATAAAACACTTCTTGCAATCATTCCAGGCATTCCAGATGGTGAAGAATGTTGCAATAATTCAATGGAAGGTAAAGCAAACTTACCCGAATCATCATGACAGAACATCTGATATCATGAATTGTATCATAGATCTTCTTTGAGATGTCCACAAATTGATTATCGTCAAACACATCCAAAGAATTTTTATTTAAGGCTTCCAAGGCAACATTCACTTGTGTTACAAACTCAGGAATTGCTGTTAAAATGAATAAGAAAGAGAGGATTGTCCTTTTTGTATTTTCAGATTCTGGAGTTTCTAGGAAATAGAAAATCATATTTTTAAATAAATATTTGATTAACAGAAGTATAATTTTTAATGTAAAGAGATAAAATATTTTGGCAGAATAATCATGCATTTCTAAAAAAAGTAATCAAAGATAAAAGAGACATTTTTATAAAAATGTTTTAAAAATTATCTTTCAAAAAATTAATTAAAAAATAAAAAATTATCTTTCTCCTTTATGTCATTTTTGTTTTTACCACACCTGGGATCATACAATTATTTCTCATCCTATCCAACATAAACCCCAAGAAATTACAAAAAAGACTAGATGTGAATAACAGTTAAAATTGTAAAGAAGATATTTAAAGAAAGAAAATATTTGAGTTGCTAACTAGAAGAAAATTTAATTAAAGGTACTAATTCTACATCATAGAACCAATAAAAATATTGTAAACTTTTTTGGTAAGATATTTTCCCTATCAACAAATCATCAAAGAAATTGGCCATCTTACATGCATAATGTTTCTATCTAAAATAACACAATATTGAATGAGTGTAGGGATGCATATATCAGTAAATCCAATCCAAAGATTATTCTTTTTTTAATTAAGATTTCAAAATAGTCTCAAAAATTTTTCTCCAATTTTACTTTTAAGGTTAATATGGTAAAATTTGTTAACTCTCTGCTAGATTCAAGTCATTTTTCTAAGTGTCTGCTGTGATTAAATCTTAAAACAACTCAAGTATTAACCAGGGGTTAATAGTTAAATAACAAAGACACAGAGAAATCAAGAATCCTGCCCAGGGTCATTCTGCTAATATATAGCAGAATAAAGATTATACTTAGACTGCAAAAATGCAGAGTCTACACTCAATTACTACACTATATTGTATTGTTTCGTTATGTTATGTTGTGTTGCATTGTGGTGTGGTAATGTGCTGTGACATGATGTGACATGATTATATTGTATTATAGTATAATATAGTATAGTAGTATAGTATA